GGGGGGGGGGGGGGGGGGGGGGGGGGGGGGGGATGGAGGATGTAAGATGTGACAAATTGGAAAACATCCGTTATTTTACATGCCTTGTCGATTTCTAGTACTGGGATGGAAGACGTAGAAAAGACGAGTTATATATTTAATAAGTATGTGCGAAAGTAGTCTAAACAACTTGAAATTTTTGAAACACATTGCCTGGTTTTAGGGGCAACAAAAAACCGCTCCGGTTAATCGTATTTTCATTCTTAGAAAGCAGAGCGTGATGCGCTAGAAATCAAGCTGCAGAATGCAATGGAACTGGCGGATGAGCTCGTTGCTGTGGCTCTCGAGATCCACGAGGAAATACTGCAGCACAAAGAAAATGCTGAAACAGCTGTTCAGACGCGGGAGGAGGTGAGCTGCTTTTGCAAAGATCACTCGGACAGTCGGTGTTGAGCTACGGATCCCATTGTAAAGCAACAGCTACACACCGAGTGCAGCCATGCCTTAGCCTGTTTAATTTCAGCTTTTACTTAGCTTCTATTGCAGCATTTCTTTGGGGATTGCTTAAGCGATCGCGCTTCCTGAACTATCAGTTTGCTTTTCGGTTTACTCATCGATCTTCGATGTCTTAGTAGCTGTAGCTTAGCCCCATATTTTAGATTTCATGAGTTGAAAGTAGAGAAAGTGAGACCTGCAACCTCGAAAATGTGAAGTTATTATTGATAAAACTTGTAAAAATGCACTCAGGCTAAGCAGAAATTGTCCATTTGTGTTATGCAAGCAGTGAAACATTTGAACTGTAATGAAGGTTTCTCGAGGTCGGCGTCCTTGGCGCTTTATTTGCACCTTTTCTGAACGTCATTTTTTGCCGTCTTCTAGGTCTTTCTTGAAGTGGGAAAGAACAGAAATCATAAAGCTCCCAATAGTAAATTTTATAAGTCTCTACTGTATACTGGATGTTATCCAGGAGTATTGTTGTGCAGCTATGACTGTTAGCTCGTGTTACTGTTGTGAATCTCTGTATGTTAGCCCTTATGGTTACGATAGTCAGGACTAACATCCAGGGCACTGAACGTGGTTTGGATTATTGATGTGTGGATGTAAAGTTGACTCATTTAACGGTCTACAGGTTCCACTGCTGGTGCAACAGAGCAGCGCGCTGTACCAGTTATGCTAACTCATCCTTCGTAACCATAGGTGGATTCCAAGGGGTTTTTCGTCCCCCTCCCCTCTCCCGACGGCACAGGCGCTAGTGCTGCAAAAGCCCTAATCTAAAGCTAAAACTGAAGTAAACTAAAGCTTAAAGTGATTCTAAGTAGCAGTGTTGCAACACTCTTCCTAGTTTTTGCATAGTTACAGGGCGGAGGCCCGCTAACCTTTCGTCTTTCCCTCCCCCCTCTCTCCAACAGTCCGCCCTGGATCCGCCTGTGTTCGTAACTACTTCGGTCTGTAACCACGTCTTCATTCGGTGTTCTTGCCATCTCGCAGGCTGTTCTCAATCGGTCGGATACCATTCTTTTCATCCACTGGTTGTCATTAAAACGGACA